AGAGAGAGAGAGCGAGAGAGAGAGATAGACAGACAGATAGACAGATAGACAGACAGACAGACAGACAGACAGACAGACAGACAGACAGAGAAAGTGAGAAAGAGAGAGAGAGAGAGAGAGAGAGAAAGAGAGAAAGAAAGAAAGAAAAAAGCAGGAAGAGATAGACAGTCGGTTGACAGGAAGACAGACAGACGTTAGCAAATACATCACAAAGACATCAGTCTATACATAGATAGGAAGAGAGAAGAATGAGAATAAGGAGGAGAATAAGGTGAAGGATGACGAGAGAAAGGGAGGAGCAGGGGAGGAGGTGGAGAAAAGAGGGGGGAGCAAGGAGGAGCAAAAGGCCAATTACCGGTTTCGTACAAGTGTCCAGCACCTCAATGTCAGTGACCGAGTCCTCTCCCTTGATGCTTGACCGGTACAACAGGTCTAAGGGAGACAAACGCATAAAGAACCAAATCACTAGAGTGGTTGAGGGGAAGTAACTAGTACAGATGACAGATGTATCTTATTAACGGAATGCTGTCCCTTCAATGGAGGCTGGCAGACAGACAGACCGACAGAGATAGACAAAAAAACACACACACACACACAAAAACAAACAACAGACAACAGATGCACAGACAGACAGAATTCGAGACAGAATTTTTTAAAAAGCAGCTCATGTCGAAGATGATTTTAAACTTCACATTTTTTTAAAATGAATGCTGCAGAAATAATAAAACAATTAAACGACGTTCTTGAATTTTTGGCAAGGTAAGTAAGCCTTTTCCCCTGACAATCCAATCTACAGATTGGCAACGTTTTTGTGCAGAACATGATTATATTATATCATTTTATTTTTGTTAAATTCAGATGAAAATAGAAGCTCTATTCCCTTTGCATGAGAGAAACTTACTTCGGGGAACCTGAAAAAATGGATGACGTGGAAAGACACAAACAATAAAATAATGTGCAGTTTTGAAAGAGCATCTAATTGGAGATTGGAAAACCATATCACCGACATCTGTTTCAGATCAGGCACTTGATGATGATGATGATGATGATGATGATGATGATGATGATGATGATGATGATGAAGACTGCAGTATACTGACTCACCTATGTCGGAGCTGTATTCACCGATGAAGCGTTTTGTTAGGAAGCGCACAGTCACGGCTGGGGAGCAGAAGAACAAACATATTTTGTAAAAAAGATTTTTAAACAACTTATTTTTGTAAATGTTTTGTGCCCAAACGCACAAAACTAGGCCTTTTATGAGACTGGACTTAGATTGCGTAAAGTGATGCATATTGACGCGATGGTGACACACAAGAACAATAATTCATGACTTGAAGAAAATGTTTGATGGTTGAAACACACCCACAAGTAATATCTGCAAACACATTTTTGGGTGGTATTTTGGTTTTCTTTTTGCTTTATATACATATAAGCTACATGGTGATCGAAAAAAACTGTACAACTTTTTTGTTGATAATTTCCTCTACACTAAAGTTTTGTGTTTCAAATTTGTACTCAATATTTGGAAGTCAAAAGGAATTTTTTTAAATATTCATTCTCGATAAATCCACTTAGTAGTTTTGCTTTACATAGCGCGTAAAGAAACAACCCATTTTCAGCTATGTCCGCAGTTTTGTAGCATGACGCACTAGTTTGCATTAGGCCCACCACTAAATATCCCAATGATTGCGCCATATTGCAAACTACCGCAGTCAAACAGGTCAACAGAAGTTGGTAGATTGTTTTTCTCAAGTTTCCTTTGTCTACGGAGACCATGGTCAAGATCAGTAAAGAGCAGAGAGCTTTTTGTATTGAACATTTCCTCACCACCAACTCATTTCGTAAGTTTCGCACAAGGTACGGAAATAATGTTAAAGTGGCCTTAAAGGTTTCTTTGGAGTCAAGGGTGGAAAGGGTCCATCTGCTAGGATCTGTAGAGAATCAGAACTAAAAATTTCTAGACAAAACGACCACTCCAGGTCAAATACACGCCAGGATGCAGAATTCAGTAGATGAGCCCCATGAGACATCTGTCCGTAGATGATGTCTGCAGCAATGACTTTCCTACATCTCAACGGTCCGCATTCTCAAGGCATATCTTTAATCTACAGCTGTACTTTCAAGTTCGCGAAGCTATCAGAGGATAGCAATGTGTTCATGATTCCTCGATCGTTTGAAAAAGGTGAACAATTCTTCTATGACATTTGGTTCCTTGGCAAAGCCCATATTCACCTTTCAGGTTATATCGACTCCACAAATGCTGTCTACTTGGGCAAACTCACCCCCCCCCCCTCTTATAGTCTCCAGAAACAGCTCCATACTGCAAGGTGTACAGTGTGTGTGGCTTAGAGTACTCATGGTGGAGGGGATCCTTGTGTTTGGTCACCACTGGACATTACGAATGACATGTTCACATGTGTGGAGTTCAAAGGATGACATATTATAAACCATTGATTCCCCGAATTCCAGAATTTTCAACAACAAAAAATTAATTCCGTAGGAGAAAAGAAATATTGTTTAAAGGTTACAGGGATGGAAAGATTAGATTTCTAAAATAAAAAGAAAGTGAAAAATAAATTATTGTTTAAAGGTTACAGGGATGGAAAGATTAGATTTCTAAAATAAAAAGAAAGTGAAAAATAAATAAATCATTTCATGACTTTCCTTACTAGGTCTTTTAAATTGGCGCATTTTGTATTTACAGGTGTTTTTTTTTTTTATAAAAGCATTTTCGTTTACGAAAATAAGTTTATTCTTTGTGCATTTTATGTCAAACAAATGCCCATCGAATGAATTATATCTGTTCCGAATTACAACATTCTTGTACAAATTTTGAGCGAGAAATTTAGAAGAAAAAAAATTGTAGGGGCCTACATTTTTTTTGGATCCCCCTGTATTATTATGTTGATGTGTGACTCCTCATATATATGATATATGGTGTCCAAAAGAAACTTGAGAAAATGTTATCACCCAATCATCGTGTTAAAGGCTTGCGTCGCCTATTCATTCAGAATAGATCTACCAATTCAAAGCTACATAAATTCTGCTTCCAGACTTGACAAAATTGTGGGAAATTTTTAAAAAACGTAAAAGTGTTTTCGTGCGTGTATAGGGGACATTCAATATTGATAGAATGGACCTATGTTACATATCAAATGAATGGAGAAATCTGTGAAAGCAATAATCAATTAATACATTGCGATAGGTTCAAACAAATCGGAAACAGAGCAGTCACAAATACCACTCCAAACTTGAACTTAAAAATAAATTTTCTCATTATTAGTTTGTTTGGGATCCCCTGGTTTTGTGAAGAGCACAAACCTTTCGGGCATGGACTGTTAAATTTTGACATAATTATCACGACAAAAACAGTGACGAAAATAAGATCATCTTTATTGTCCGGATCCTTGTACATTGGTTTGGTGCTTCACCAAGTACACACACATACACACACACACACACACACACACACACACACACACACACACACACACACGCGCGCGCGCGCGCGCGCGCACACACACACACACACACACACACACACAAACATGCACACACACGCATACGCACGCACATGTGCACACCCATATACACACACACTCTCCATAACACATCCTCTCTTCCATACACATCTGAGCACATAACCATTATATATAACGGTATGCTTGCATTCACAAACAGGCAAACAGTCACATGCATAATACAAATGAACAGCAATGATATAAACATTGATAGTGTTAAGAAAGATACGTACTCAGTATTCTGATTGTAACTGTGTATGCTTTACTTTAAAGGTCATAATAATATGAATACTTATAACAAGATGATCAAGATAGAAGAAGTTCAATGGGTAATGGTAAGAATGACTTCTGCTTTTTTCTGTGTTACATATAAGAAGCCCAGGTCTTTTACTTATGGTACAGTATAGGTCACTGCCAAATAAAAGAGACATTTCTAAGAGATCAAAAACACCATCATACGTGTTAAACAGTTTTGGTCTTTGCTGTTGTTGTTGTTATTTTTGTTGTTGCTGGTGTTATTATTATTATTGTTTTTATTATTATTTTATTATTATTATTATTATTATTATTATTATTATTATTATTATTATTGTTATTGTTATTATTATTATTATTATTATTATTATTATTATTATTATTATTATTATTATTATTATTACTATTATTATTGTTATCATAATTATTATTACTATTATTATTATTATTCAAATTGTCGTTGTTGTTGTCGTTGTTGTTGCTAGTGGTGGGGGTGGACTGTTACGCCTACCTTGCAACTTCGAAGATAGAATTCTCGCCAGGGACACTGTCGAAAGGCAGTCCAATTTCCCTTTGTCTTCCCAAAATTAATATGTCGTTGTTGTTATCATTAAGGGGGGGGGGGGGGGCTACACCCCCAAAATTAAAATTCGGCTCAAAATCATGGAATTTGAGTTGTAGGCATTTTTAGCTTCCTCAGCCTCTCCTACAACTATTTCATGGCATAAGAACCCCCAAAAACCGTATTTTTTCGCGTACCGGGCAAGTTTGTAACCGCCATTTCCTCATAAAGTCAATATTTTATTTGTCTTTATTGGCCGTTTTCTCAAAATGCGACTTTCCTCTATACTTTTTTGAATAACTCCACCATTTTTCATCCAATCTTCATGAAATTTTCACAGAATGAAGCGAAGAGGTAATACTAAAAATTTGTAAGTTGAATTTTTGATATGTGGAATAGATTTTTGTTGGTGGTGTCTGGAGTGTGGATTTTCACGGATTTTTTGCAAACTTGAATGCTACCTCAGGAAAAAAATTCATTAAAATTTTTTTAATTCGATTAGGAAAAAAACAACAGACAAATTTTTAGATCTAATGTTTGTGAACACGCATGCAAAAAAAACAATCATTTTCCATGAGCGATAAGTGCGGTATTCATTACGTAAGACATGTCAAAAAAATCCAATATGGCGGCGTATCCATGGAAACAAAACTTTTTTCTCAAATTTGATTGCGGATTTTGAGACTCCTTATTATGCTTGTTATATGTGTGAAATGTTCAGTAATAAGTGAGATAGCCTCCAGGTGTAGTCCCCTCCCCCCCTTAACAATATATTTCCATGGAACCGTAACCCGCGTGTATTCATGAAGAGTTACAAATATTATATTGCCTTTACACAAATAAAATACGATGTATAAACACACACACACACACACACACACACACACACACACACACACACACACACACACACACACACGCACACACACACACATACACACCCACAAAAATACACACTCACACATACACTCACATTCACACTCACATAAACACACCAGCAAATACACAAGCAAACACACACGCAAACACACACACATACATACACATACACACGCAAACGCATTTTAAGCCTTTCTCTCCCTCACATTCTCTCTCGTTGAATCTCACAACTTGCTGGTACTCGAACCATCAACCGTTCGGAGAAACAAACGCTTAAAAGCTACTCGGAAGGAAGAGCTCGTGTAAAAGTAGATTCCAAAATTGAAAAAAGTCGCCAAAAGCTCAAAGAACAGCAAAAAATAGACAAAACACAGAAACACGTCCCGGGAAAATCGCGTGACGACAAGTTTGCCTTCCGTGAAGCTGTACAGACCCAGAAGTGTTCTCGGTAACGTACTCGTCAATAGATAAACGACAACCACACTCAGCAACATCTTAGAAATTCTTCGCTCCTTCCTAGATAGTTTGTGTTTGTATTTGGAGGTTTCTGGTAAAATATAAGTAGGGATCCACAGACGGCAAGCTCCCCTGAGCTCAGATATGATTTTGATAGAACATGTGATAGTGACGAACGATGTAATGATGGGCCATGCCACAGAGACGAAGTTGTATTCAAACAGCAAAATGTCGATGAAACGTCTGAGAGAAGAGGAAGGTTTTAACACAATGGCTGTTGTCGGCTGGTCACCTCTTGCACTGGACGGAGCGCGGTACACAAAGCAAAAATGAATGGGGAGAAAGGAGCAGAAGACGAAGGAGGAGAGGGTGGTCAATGAAGTCAAAGTTCGTCTTCTGGTCAGCAGCGACTTGGCGTGGAGTGGGAACCCGACACATATGCACCTCTCGAAGGTGAGGTACGCCGTCAAACTTCTGGAAGTACA